GTTTAAGGGACAGGAACAGCTAGTGTGGATACCACAAACGTATGACACGCCAGGCTTGATGCTTCGAGTACTGAATCAAATGAATGGTTCGTTCAGCAATCACACAGCTAGAACCACCACATGGCATTGCGCCAGCGATTTAGATATACGAGCGTACCGGTGTGGATACCACAAACGTATGACGCGCCGCGCTTGATGCTTCGAATACTAAATCAAATCAGTGGTTCGTTCAGCAATCACACACCTAGAACCACCACATGGCATCGCGCCAGCGATTTAGATATACGAGCGTACCGCGTATAAGAGCATCACTGTCTCCCGATACCCATCGTTCGATGTCATGTCAAGTTTTATCAGTCCTAATTTCACATCCGTCAAATTATCCCATGCATTTCTTGAGATAGTTGTTGCGTGATTTTGAAAGTCCGCCTAGATCAGGATCATTTGTCTTAATCCAGCCCAGTGCCTCACAATTAGCATTGAACTCTGTGATTACACCACACCTGCGTTACACGGTGTGGTAGCCCGACTGTACTCGTTCCTGGTGTCTGATAGACAGTATGTAGTCCAACCGACTAATGATCCAACTGGTTTCAAGGGATCAAGACTGTCTCGCACCTGATTAACATCAAAAGCCTATTTGCCTGAGCTTCAGTACATCCCGCTTGTCCTTTTCTGACAAAATTCGTACTTGTTCTAGCACCCTCCCTCTAAAGACAAATGAGCAGTCCTTCTAACCTGTTTGATTGGAGAAAACTGTCCTATTTTGGAACGGGTATAGAGGGAAAGTATTGTCCAACGGCATATTAGGACTACCGTCGTCCTCAGAACTAATAACCACCAAATGAAATCGGGGAAAGTAGATCTACTTGTAAACTCATACGAAATGGTCCCTAAATTGTGAACTAGAACTTTCAAAAATCCCAAGAGGCCATACTGCATGATTAGTTAAAAACGTGAAGAAGCTAGTGTATCCGATTATTGCAATGCGAATAACCTTCTGGTCTATAGTACAGTAGATTAACATTACCCCAAACACGTTTGTTACAAGTAAAATTGTACACAGAATTGAGGGGCTCAGGCTGTTTTGGTAGCCCGTTTGTGGTTTGGTTGAAAGTCTACCAACGATATGAACAAACTGCCCTTGTTGGGGCTCCATTGTACGACTTGTCCACATGTCCAATCGACAATGTAGAACTGCATGACAAAATATTGCTCGTTATTAGTTCCATACCAGGTAAGCCGGTTGTGGCCCCACCGAGACGTTTGGGCATTCAGCTCAGACTGACACTGGCTTACGAAACTATCTTTTACACGGATAACCTAAAACGTTCACAGCAGGAAACAACCCACGGGGACTGCGCCTACCTGATGAGCCCCAAGAAGGGCAAAACCGGTCGTGGGCTGTCGAAGAGTTTCCAGCAACCTTGTGAGTAGTTTCCTTTATGAAAACCCACGGATAGTTGTCCCAGAACCCCTCAAACCCTTTCCTAACAAGGTGCGAGTGAAATGCGAACAAGTCCATGTCTGCGAGTCTGCCGTGTTGGCGAGAGAGCATAACCAAGTTTGTTACAACTAGCGTCCAAATTCACTAAAAAGTTTGTAGTAGACTGAAGTTGCAAGCCACGAGAGCTTCACACAAAGCGCCTAATCCAACTAAAACGCAACTCACCGCTCTGTAAGATGCACTGTGCAGGTTCATTTCTTTATTTCCCACCGTGCTGATAGAATCCAAAGCGGAGCAAGCTGCCCAACGGCGGAGGATATCGACACAACCTTTATTCTGATTCAGTAAGTCTTCTGGAGATACCACATTCCCCAAAGACTTTGACATTTTTCGCCCTTCTGAATCTGCGGTCATTCCATGAACCACAAGTGTCCTGCAGGTTGAACACGATATGCGGGACACCAATTAGTAGTATGGTGTTCGACAATGCAGTATGATAACTTCAGGTAAAAAAGCAACCGATTGAGGCAAATGTAGTCTAAAATAAGCATTATAACAAAATCAGGGTCATTTACACAAGAAGCAGAATAAGGCACAATCATTCAGCTGTAGCACCATTCCGGTGCCTAAATGCCATGCCACCCGAAGGTTGCACGAGGGCTGGGATACTGCCAGGTTGCCCAAGCCTAGACAGAGGAAGTCGAGAGGCAGAGGTCGGGTTCGCATCACGGACCTTCCGGTCAGTAAATTCGCACTCTAATCAATTGGGCCATCTCGCCCCATAAGGCACAATACTGTCTCAGTAAACTTATGCACTGCTCTGCGACAGCTTGGATTCAGAGCCCTGAGATTGGATGGCAAACGTCGGCCGAAACATTCTTCATAAAATCTACCCAATGCATTAGAAAGTGTGTAGACGAGATCAACCGGAACAGTATGGTGGGTGGAAGATGTTTGATGAGTGTAGTAAAACGTGATCCGTTCTTTCTTGTGGTGGGAAAAACGGGACACCAGTGTAGCTAGGAGGAAAGAAGTTGGACGTCGAACAGATCAACCGACACAGATACTCGGACGATCCGCCACGAATGTATAAGGGCACATTATGCAGAATAATACTATTGTGGCATTACCTATGAGAAATTCCAATGAAACTCCAGTGGCTGTAATTTCTTCCTGAATGAGCTGAAAAGTAAACAGCTCACAAAACCGCTACGGGGTTGATTGTCTCAGCTTTCGGGAGCTACACACACCTGACGAGATGTACACAAGGCGAAACCGGTGGTGGGATGTCTGCGAATTTCCTAAACAACAATGAGAACTTTCTTTACTGGTGGTTGATCAGATGGTCGTTGATCTGTTCGTGAGCTTGGCAATTGACTTGAAAACAAGCACATCGGAATCGACCCAGTATATCAACCGCTGCAGGCAAAAGAATTACGGAACTGGTCGTTGGCTTGTTCGCTGAGCTGGGCAATTTGACTGCAAACGTTTCGTCACCAATCGAGGTGACATCATCAGTGCGTTATTGGAGAGCGTAGCGGTGGGTTAGTGGTTGTGTCCAGCTCAGTGAACAAGTCAACGATCTTCTACGCCACCTGAGCTACCAACATTTTCCTCTATACAAAATCACGGAACAACAGAACGCAGAGCAAGGGACAAACTAAAACAAACAACAAAAAACCGAGGGGAGCAACCCCCCTTCCCGGACCACCATCATACCGACAAACCGGAGGAGGACAAAGATCAGCTCAACAAATTGATCATTGAATTGTAACTGAGTTGACCAATATGAGAAGAAAAACCTACATCAATCGCGGAAGTAAAAGCGGCTAAGCAGACTGAAGAAAACTATCAAAAATAGAAGTCGCTATCAAAACAAACCAAATTAAAGGAAGATAGACCACAGCGCAACACAGACCGGGAAGGGACCGATCGAAAACGCACTTAAAACACTCCAAAGATCCATCCAACCAACCAGTGGAATAAGAGACATACAGACAACAACGCAGCGGAAATCATGATCGGGCCAATAATGCTACAAGGTTCATGTCAACTGATCAATCACATGATAGGAAATTAGATACTCTTCAGAAACTATATAAACGCAGCCAGACACGGAGTAAGCACCCATTCAACTGCTCACTGACGATGTCCCCTAGACTGAGGACGAAACGTTTGCAAACTGCTAAGCTCGCCGAACAGATTAACGACACCAGTAAACACACGACACATTGACAGGAACTTTCCTTCCAAGAGACCGGCCATCCACTGAAAACCTAAAGGCAGCCTGTGAAAACTCATACAGTTCGCACAATTCCTTTAACTAGCCGCGCACTGGACCCCAAAATTATAGTGTGTTTGGATCTCCAAATCGTCCAACGAATGGAGTTCAACGTTCAACTTCGTTTTATTCTGTGTGTATTTGTCACCGGTAAACTATCTCGACGAGAGGACAAGAAAACGTTTTGTGTATCTCGTTTATGCGCCAAAACCGATCACTCACTGAAACGGCGGATACCTCAGTTGACTGAGCTAGTCCATTAAACTTCAAAAGCCACTTACTGTCGACTCAGAAGTATTACCTAACAACCAGTTCAGCGCCCTTCCGGATCACTGGATGTGACATCAACACATGGGAGTTGCGCGTGATGAAACACTCTTGATGTAAAATGATGAAACGTCATCGACTTGGGTGCTAAACTGCTTTGAAAGCTGTCGACCTGTAAAAGTGCTTGGCACGACTCGTTTTTCTTTCGTTTCCACTCATTTGTGTGTCTGAAGATTTTGTTGGTCTTACCTAAAGTGACTTAACAGAAAACAGACAAGCAAGCCATAGCTGGTTTTGCAGCGGTGTTACTAAATACTAAGTGAATGAGCAACAAAGTTATATTCCGTCAGCTGTTAGGGGACAGGTATGACGAAATGAAGGCCCGAAGAGAATCGATGCGCGGCCTCTTCGCACGCTTTCGGAGTGCCGAAATTTTAGGCCTCCCCATGGTGTCCCAAAATCAACTGGAAATTAAGACAAACTAGAGAAAAGTAGCAGAACGAAACAACGACATGACAATGGTTGTCACTGGTGACGCTTATACACTGGAGAAAATAGTCACCACGGTGATTAGCGAAATCAGTTTTTAAGGATAAATGAGTTACCTCGAGCTCGAGGGTAAATTTACTGACCGGAAGGTTTGTGGTTCGAACTCAACCTCAGCATATCGGCCACTTTTGACTGGGCTTGGGCTACCTGGCAGTGTCCCAGCCCCTATGCTTCCTTCGGGTGGCATGGCGGCTAGGCAATACAGTTGAACGACTGTTTTGAGTGTTTCTATTTACCCCAAATCTGCTGGAGGATTGGAAGCTGTAGGCCGCAGTCCCTCTATGGGGAGCATCATAAGGATGTCACGTTCGTATTTCAGTGTTTACTATTTGGACGAGATGTCGCTTACTTGTATGGTGCACAATTCTGAAGGGCAACACTCAGCAGTAGCGAGGACGAAAACCATCCGCGAAACTGATCCTGTCCTTCGAGATATAAGTCAGCGACGGTCTTTGTTTTACCATTCAATGAATGAGACCCATCTAAATGAAAGAACATCAAACGTTAGCGTTCCAACTGATACAAATGAGAAAAGTAGACATGAAACAGAACGATGGATAGGAAATTCCTTACCAGACGGAAACAATGATGCAGATCAGTAAACGGCGTCAGTGACCACGCTATTAGGGATAATGATATCGAAAACCCACAGATTTAGTTTAATTTGAATTTTGTCCACAACCAGTGGTGCAAAACAGACGACATTAGGTCGAGCAATAGCACCAGTTTATGCGTCAGCTTAGATGAAGTCCGATTTATGAAACAGCATGGACGTCGAGTGTGGGACGAAAGCTTACTATAACGTGAATTGCCGTACTCGTGATTAGCTAGGCACCAGTTAAATATACCTATATGTGGTCCCAGATTCTGTCCAGGTACAAACTAGTCACATTGCCGAATGGTGTAACACTCAGCTACTAGTCGGAAGGTAACAGGTTCAAATGTTATCTGGAGATTTAGGTGCTCAGTGCTGATGATTGGCGACAGAGATGAAACAATTAGGCAGTGCTTTTCGGCCTAGATTTAATACACATGTAGGATGAAATCTTAATTAGAACTTCGAACCCCCTTAACGTCTGCAAACAATAAGGTTGACCACCTGGTGTGAGGGAAATAAAGCTGAGACAGCACAGGTGTGTCCCGAAGACGGAGGGGCTAAAATGGATGTAGATAGACTTGACAAGACCTTAGACAGCGAGGAAGGTGCTTTTGACCCACATGCTCCGAAAAAATTCCAGCAGTCACGGCAGATTTTATCGGCGAAACACACTCAGTTGCGGATTACACTGGCGTTAAAGACAGACTCAAATAAGTCTCTCGTCTAGATATTCTTCAACAAAGGCCGCTACAATATTCGAGATATCGCACGACCTCGTCTAGACGGATCATACAACTCAAAAGTTTGCAAAAGCTCTTTGACAGCCCACAATCTCATTTGTTCACCTTGGGGCTCATCAGGTAAGTGTAGTTCTGTCAGGGCGCGCTCAGACAGAAGAAAAAGTACGTGTGCAGAGAGTGACGCATCCCCAAGGTCATCATCGGTTCGACACGTCCGGAAAGTAGGTGAGTTGGTGGCTCTCACCAAACGGCTTAGCAACACACGACCAGCGTAGTGGGCCTGAGAATGTTCACGACCGGAACACCACCATTGGCTGTACGGAGCGAACAAGTGAACGACCATATTTGTCTAAGTAGTCATCCTATATATTTACGCAGACGCTCTGTACGTTTTGTCCTGGCAATACAACCGTGTCCCCAGTCCTCTGTCTTCTCCCTATCACGTAGTTTGGCAGGCTCAGTGCAGAAGTAACCAATAGCTCGGCCACCGCACGATACAACAAGTTTCAAGTTTCCACTAAACTTGTGTTCGAGCTGAACACCGGAATGTATGCAAGTGGGGAAATACGCTCATTATGTGAAAAAATACACTCTACTTCCTCGAACACCGTACCAGCTGAAACACGAGGTGACTTCTGTGCAAAACAAACAGTTGAAGAATAAAATAAACAAGAGACTCCTTCAAGTCTCTCGTTACCACCAGTGCCATTTGCCAATTGCACACAATTCGGGATTCAAGTAGAACATAATGATGATGATGGAAACTCGGGAAGTACGCCTACCTGATGAGCGACAAGACAGGCGACACAGGTATTGGACTGTTGAGGAGCTTTCAACAACCCTATGAGTAGTGTGTATGTGGCCATTCATTTTTCTCGCCTACACTTCTTGCCATTTCAACACACCAGTAATTTTTAAATGCATGATCATGAAAATATGATTGATTCATTCACTGAGCTGAGCCATATGAGGTATTGGTATAAAGAATATGGGGCAAGAGGCAGAGCGACTGACCTTTAGAGAGAACGACCTTAGAGAACGATTCCCCCACTCCCGTTTTTGTCAATGATTCCCTTTTAGAAAAAATGCTCCACAAGAGAGGACGACGGATCGAAAATTGACTCTTGTAAGTACGGCTGATAAAAAAGTATTCGCATCACTCAAAATCTCCAGAAATATCGTTCGACTGATCAGAGATAACACTGGGTTTCATTCGCCAACGAACAGCAAAACCATCAAGATCTACCGAGTCGTACCGCCCTATGACGAGGCTGCGTTTTCAACGACCATGGTCCTAAAATTTAGTCGGAACTAGGTCACACTTAAGTGGAAATATGAAGATTCCAATTTGTTCATCGCACTACGAGGTTAGTGGCAGTGACTAAATTTTTGAAGTGTCGCACGTTGACTTTTCATATAAAGCCGTCATTCTAGCCTACGCATAGAAAAGTCTATAGCGAAGATAAGTTGGGCCAGAAACCCATCAGTTCAACTGCAGTACTCAACATGCGCAGACGTTCGCGTGAATCAAGATTGGGTGAAACGGCTGAAACCAGATCCAATAATGTCGGAGAACGCCGCTCGTGAGAGGAGCACTTTAGTTAGTTCGTGGGTGCTGGCCCCAAATGGGATAAATATGTTTACTTATGAGTAGTCTTACTCAGAGGCTGCCCGTGTGTTCCATTAACAAAAAACCCATAGAACATCAACGGTTTGCAATCCTGCATAATTGCAAGCTGTTTTTCTCCAAAAAAACAAAGGTGTCCATCAGTCTAAACGGTAGCACTACTGTGACGAAGCTTAGTACAAAAATCGGTATTATCACTCATGGTCACTGAGTGATTGTCACTTAGAATAATGAATAATAATCAATCAGTCGTAACACCCCTCCGGTGCCTAGCTGCCGCGCTAACCGAAGGAACCACGACGGCTAGGATACTGCCAAGTTGCCCAAGCCCAAACAGAAGCAGTCGAGACGCAGAGGTAGGGTTCGAACCACGGACCATCCGGTTAGTAAATTCGCGCTATAAGCACTGAGCCATCTCGAGCCCAATTACTACTCAGACTGACTATCCAGTGGGAAACAAAACGTAAGATAGTGCTTGCAATAGTAATTGCACTAAATTTTTAGACTGTCTAAAGAATTCGCTCAATGAAGGTTCGGCTGAGACGATCTGGATGACTTTCCAAGGTGCGCCCACTTTTTGGTTCATCCAGCGCAGCACACGAGGCAAACCTAATGGGCAACTTCCGTGCACTTGCGCCTTCCCAACATCATGATATCCAGGTTCCGGGCAGGATGGCATTGTTGTGAGGAGGCAGACATTGGGAGTTGAAAGCCATTCGCTGCAGAAACATTCCACGGCTCGCACGAAAGAAGAGAAGAAACGTATCCGGACGTGTGACTGCATGATCATTTTGTAATCCTTTCTACATTACCCCTGAATTACTGTCCAGAGACGAGCCACTTCATTGAAAGTATGTGTCGTGAGGCAGCTAGGGACCATACCAAGGCGTACAGCGATTGGTCAGAATGTGAGCCAACCAAGATCGAGCATTTTAGAGCAGCGCTCCCCGCACCATCACGAGAATTCTAGCGTGACCTTGTGGAAAATTCCATGACAAGCCAAAGTAATGTTGTGGTAAATCTCTTGTCTTAACAAAAGACTATTCAAACTACCGTACCTTTAGATATGTCAACGTGGGCAGAGCAAGAAGCCAAAAACCGACATAGGTGTCGGAACATCGTCAGCGAGACACTTTACTTGTACTTCTAATTTCGATGTAAAAAAAGTAAACTGGCGATGGTAACGAAACGAGACTTGTCGCGTGTCACCGGAAATAAGATAAGCGGCTAACTTCGCAGGGATAGGGCAATTTATAGATCGAAAGACATTTACCTTTGCAAAGGACGCCGAGCCAGGACAGGCCACTGTCAAACCAAACGTCGAATACATCGGTGCTTTTTATGACGCCGCTAGGGCTGACGTTCCACTGAAAGCCGAAATCACGTAGATTGGCCATAAATAAAGGTCAAACAACGGGACATACTGGCAGATTACGATAAGAAAGTACCCTGAAATCGGCCTTACCTTTTTCCAGAATCGTTCGGGTACCAGAGTCTCCAGAGATTCATTGAACCAAAAATCTGTACCACAGTGAGCGACGCGCTCCGAAATGCATTGGATGAACTCCCTGAAATGAATACGTACAGAACTCTCCATCAGTGAGCTGGGAGAACAAATGGTCAGTGGCTTTTGCTGCCTCACTAGGACTGTTTTGGTGTTCACAAAAATCCACGAGCCAGCAGAACGTCGCGGCATACATTCCTACGTTCAGTCATACAAAACGTACTGCATTTCCAATTTTGGTTCAAGAGTAGAGCGTTCTCTGGCCATAAAGTAGGTTCCGGTTATATTCACATGGATTTAAGCATTCATAAACAGTTCTTTCGAACAATGACAGAATGCTACTGCTCATCTGATCTCATCAGGAACACGAAAACACTATCTTCCGAATAAACCTTGAGTGAACGAATGGGTTCTTAAGAGTCACCTCCTGATTACTGTCACGCATGTTTCCCCTACAAGCACTGCTCAGTTCTCCTCAAGCTTCATATTTTATTTTCCTGCACCACTCCTTTTTTGTGTGGAGGGAGGAGGATTGGTTCATATATTTATTCTGAATTTTTCATGTCAAAATAAAGTACGAGGTAGCAAGTCTGTAAAATATCGGGGTGTTGTGAAACTGGAAGTTCAGTTGTAACCATCCACCATAAAAATCATGGACGTTGACAAAAATACGGTGCCATACAACCACCAAACGTGAAAATAAGCCCTGGTCAGGTGTGAGAAAAGAGAATTATGGGGATTTAGTGAGAAGTCCTGTGTCCCTACAGAAGACGATCATGAACAAGAAACCGACGCATCGGGACAGTAACAAAATGAACATATATGGGTGGCATGTCGAGGCAAAGCGCCATCAGCGGGATTGACTCAGCATTCTATGCGAATCTTACCCGATATAAGCCCAGCACGCAAGTCCAGGTAAACTTTAGCTAGTTAGTCCGCTTCGGAAACAATGGCACGCACCACATCATGTCCTGCGGGGTTTCCGGCCACATGCGAGGATCACTTTGGCTCCGGCAAAGATGGTGCGAGATCCAACAGTTTAACCGTGGCCACCTTCATTTCACGTTGATATCCGTGAGCCTTTCGCCGACAATGGGTTGGAACAGAGAATGTGCTTCCTGGGATGGACGATTGTCGATCACCACCTAAACCTGATAAGTTTAACCGGCCGCTTTAACGATTCTGATTCACCATCAAGTACAACACGCGCAACTTTGTTTCGCACTTGCAGCCAGATAACTCTTGCCATGGCACGGAGACACCGGTGATAGGAAGTCCAAAGAAGTCTAACAAGGTCTCTGGACCGAAGTGGCCGTGTCTTGTATTCACAAAGATAGTTGCTTTGTATACACCACCTTTTAGCTTCTGTGAAATTAGTTTCTGACTCCATAAGTGACGCAAGTTGGCAAACACTGCCTCCACGCACTAAATCCATCTGTTACAGTACAATCTCGGTTTATAAAGCCATCAAGATGTGTGAACCGATCGACAAACTCAAGTACTTCATTATGAAGTTTCAGAGGCGACTGGAAATCCTGAAGTAAGCCTTTGCGCTTTGAAACGGATATCGAAACGTTGGATTACCTCCAGCGTCCTGTTTGGAATAATTCGTGCGGATAAATGATAGCCAAACAACACAACGCTGTTCGCATAACTCAAGTCTATTAATCTCCATCTGGACACTCAGATTAATGGTTCCGTAGCAAACAAACTTCATGGTAACGTCGTTGACAAAGTTAAACAAAATGGATGGGGATAACCATGACGCCATTGGTCGTGGGGAAGCCTTCAGACAATTCATCGTAGACCGATCAGAATTATGCAAGGGAAGAGAATGAGAAGTGCTCACGGGCCTAATGGTCAAGAGTATTAAAAAGCCAATCAAGTTATAGGGTCAAGGGTACCTTTAAAGTCGAGGAAAACCGCGACTGTTGGTCCGCCCTTGGCGTGGTTCTGCTCAAGCACTTAATATAATGTGCTGATGATGTAATGTAATGATAGGGTTAATGTGCACCAGTGTCAGGCAGAACTCTTGCTTGATCCTCACGGACTTGCGTCTAACGTAACGAAGATGTGCGTCGGGAAACAAGGAAAGCCAATAGCCTCGTTATGACAGACGTGAGACATATAACCTATGATCGAAACAGTCTGTTCGGGTATATTTTTCGAACAAAAATATGAATACCGACTGGCCAAAACTCTCCGTGACATGTTTTCGTCCCCAGATGGTCAAGGCGGACACAAAGATTCCTCTCTAGCTTGGATCAATGCTGGGGAATATCATCTGGTCCAGCAGTCCAGTGACGCTTCAAGGCAAAAGAGCATATACGTATTTCAAAAACCGATAGGAGTCTAAACACAAAGACTACGACTCCAAATGAGCTGGTCAAGCGAAAGATATAAGTAAAGCATTTTAAACTGCTGTTAGGAACATTGCGACCACCGATCTAGACTCTGACCTTGATTGCATATCAGGTAACCAATATTATCTTTGATTAATTCACTTATAGACGGTATTTTAGGTCCCGTTTTGAGGGTTAACTAAAACGGCTTCGGTGGATTTTCAATCCACTGGCTCCTTTCATTTCTTTAACACACTGGCTCCGCCAAGCCTCCCTACCCACACATCGTTCAGCTGTAGCACCCTTTTCTTGCCTGAATGCCATGCCACCAGAAGGAAGTACGAGGACTGCCAGCCTAGACAGGGGAAGTCGAGAGACAGAGATCGGGTTCGAACGATGGACCCTCCGGTCAGTAAATTCACGCCTTAACCACTGAGTTATCTCGCCCCCTGTCTACACGTAGGTCATGTTCAAGCTGTCCTCTAATCAACCGTCTAGCCAAATTGTACTCTTGACCCGAAGTTATAGAGCACCTTGCATGAAGGAGTGATATTGACCATTAGGTTAGCATGTATATATCCATATATAAAAAATAAATAGTTCATCTGTAACACCCATTCGGTGCCCAGCTGTCATGTCACCCGAAGCAAGCACAGGGACCGGGATACTGCCAGGTTGCCCAAGCCTAGATAGGAGAAGTCAAGATACAGAGGTCGGGTTCGAACCACGGACCTTCCGGTCAGTGAATCCGCGCTCTAACCACTTGAGCCATCTCGCCTGTGCACATACTGTGAGAAGTACCACAAACGGAGTCTATCGCATCGCGTATAGGCGTGTTTATTTCAACCTTGTAGTGCACTGCCTAGTAAACTTTGGTAACCCTAATGTATGGCGCATAGGCCCTTTCTGCTGCACCGCATGATCTGAATCACTTTGTGTACTACAAAACGACCAACAGACAGGGATCGGACCGAGCGATCAGTGGCTGATGACGGTTTCAAGGGTTTGGCTTCAAGGCTGTTCAGCAGTAACCGATAGCACAGGTGACACGACGCCTAATGCATCCATCCCCGGTGCTTCTGGAAAGCAGTTGGTGACCAGTAGATTATTGATCTCTATTATCGCTGAATTTTGAGACCATACTAAACATACCACTAAGACTTGCCTGAGACATCTACCGGTGCGTTGAAACCTTTTATTATAAATGACTTTTTGCGAGGGGCAAGATAGTGGTTTGGCCTCGAAGAAGCTCTCGGAAGAAGGCCTTCGCTGCGGAGTTATTTGTTAGAAAATGCGTACTCAACAGCTACAGACTATTGGATAGGGAAGTAAAACTCTCATGTGCATCTTGTTTGCAAAAACTGAATATCCATCTTCTCCTTGAAAGCATCTTCCTAAACTTTCCTGGATATTCATTGACCGTTGCTCAAATGCAAGCAAACGCGACTCCACGAATTCCGTAACAAAGCTCACGAGAAGCTGATTTACGAGAAAACATACTACTCGCATGCCCCATTAATAGTATCCACCGCTACACCGGTGCGTTGAAAACTTCTGTTATTATAACTGAATTTGGACTTTTTGTGGGGGGACAAGTACTGGTTAGTTCTCGATATCTATCTTCCGATGAACCAGAGCTGTAGTCAGCTGCCATGCAAATGAGCAGGGGTGTTCTGTATTCCAACCGGTGCGACTTCTTAATCGGGATGGAAAGTAGGGAGGCAAATCCAGTCGAGCAACGCAGCCTCAGCTCGCGACATGAGTGCTATACGAACACTGGCGCAAACCACCGCAGCAGCTGCAGAAATACCCGAAGTTCCTAGTTTGTAGCGTCTAAATAGAGAAGGCGCTGTAAGCTCAACAACTGGATCTCGGATTCAAGTCTCAGAACTGCAGCTGACGTCAATCTAGCGTATGTGCAACAGTAGCTTGTTAACCGGTCTCCCTGAGGGCTGCAATAAAAACAGAATGAGTTCTGAATAGCGGAGGCGGAGATTGGCTCTAAACGAATCTTCTGTGCCAGTAGCACAAAGAACGAGACATATGTGCCCTACCCGTTTGCTCTTGAGCGAGCCCGAACCCTTTCAACCGAGCGGGTGAGACTATTAAATAAATACCCCGGGACAGAGTTCCCAGGTAAACCTTACTACACTTTACCATGTAGGTCGAATTTCATCATCGACAGCATGACATCAGTGTTTTGCTCTTGAGCCCGAACCCTTTCAACCGAGCGGGTGAGACTATTAAATAAATACCCCGGGACAGAGTTCCCAGGTAAACCTTACTACATACACTCATGTAGGTCGAATTTCATCATCGACAGCATGACATCAGTGTTCAACACTGATGCTTCACTGCCGTACAACCATGACTTATTTGAAAGCCTTATTGTAAAGAAAAGAGTAAAGGTGGACGGGGGAGGGACCTAGTGCTAGCTTAACACAATCATTCCGAGGTGCTTACACCTCCAGACATTCATTCAGGCAGTCTGGATAGAAACTGACAACAAGAACGCCACTGACATCGGTTGGCAGCC